AGTGTGTGTGTGTATATATATATATACTATAATTTATTCAACTCTCTTATTTATCAAGAAAATTTTTAAATTTCATCTTTTAATTCTCTTAATAACAAATTTGTGTTTAAATTTATTATTATTGAAAGTAAAAAAAAATATTTTATTTTTCCCACATCAAAAAATGGAGTTATCTTTTGGAGAGTTATTGCTTCAACTTATTTATAATAATTACAACAATAATATTGTAATAATAGGAATAATTATTTTGATGTTGTTAAACTTTTATTGTCCCACATATATATATAAATTGAAAAAAATTATCTAACTCTTGATACTTTTTCTACATCTTGAACACTACATACTCATATTTTTAAAAAAAAAATTATTTCTTCATCACTATCTGATAATTTTAATACGACAAAATTATGTGTTTAATTTTATTTTATTTTTATTGTAAAAGTATAACCTCAACGGTAATGTTTCACTGTAGCAACTTAAGTATCTCTTTTCACAATGCACACTATAAGAATGAAAGTTTAAATATAAATTAAAATATTAATGGATCTTATGCGACACAAATATGTATCAAATGAGTGTCACTACGAGCATCGGATATCGAAAAAAAAATCTCTAACTTTTGAATTTTGTGTATAACTATGTTCGAATATAATTCAAATATTTTTTTCCCTCACGATGATTTAGCACAAATATATTTTGATTTTCTTATTTCTATTATATAGTCATTTATACAAAAAAAGAAAGTCACATAATTTACGATAAAGTAGATTTAATATTAATGGTTGAATCAATAATATTGCTATAAAATCATGAAATTTAGTATGAAACTATGATAATTAGATTGTTTATTTAACTAAAGCTTTTCATATCAATTTTATATTTTCATCTTTTTATCAGCAATTTTAAATTGAAACTGTAGCATGAAACTTTTTTAACAATTTTTCTGAATAGATAATATCAGAATCGTAACTTAATTTGTATTTCTCCCTTTTATTATATTATTTATTAGAATATTTATCAAATGATGACATTAATTATTTAAAAATATATTTAATATTTTTTTATACACACACGTACACTAGTAATTAATTATACATGCCACAAAATGAATGATTATCCCTTGCTAATCACACCCGTGAAGCAAACAGACAAAAAATTAAATAATTAAGAGTAATTATAAACCAATATTTTTTAGTTTAACATCAAGATATTAAAGAATCTAAAAATTTGAATTCACTTGTTGAACAACGAAGCTTAGGATTTTATTTATCATTGATGTGAGACATTTCTTTCATTATTATCCTCATATATACCGTACAAATCCAAATTCTTTATATGAGATTTCATGATCCAATTCGGTGCGTCACATGCTCACGTTCATGAATAGGAAATAATTTCCACCTCCGCAATTGTTTGGTTTCCTGGGAGCCCACATCAGGTTTGTCTTTAATGTCATGTTAAATTAAATTTTGAGTACAACTCACACTTCAAAAATTAATTTAAAAGAAAGAAGGTTATCCAAATCTTGTAATTAAGAAGCCTATAATTTCATTCATTCACTAACATAAAATATTTCATTTGTTAGTTACTTTTCTAATTTGATTTTCATCACTCAAATTTAAGAAATCAATATTTTTGTCATCGATTTAATTAATTGTCAATCGGCTAAGTTGAAAGAATATTGATATAAAAAAACAAAAAAACACTAAGCTTTCAAATTATATACGATATGAGACTATTGAAATAAGACCGAAAAACATAGTCTATTTTAATTTTGAGAAAATTTTAGAAATAGCAAACATAATAAAGCTCTAATAATTGCGCTCCATAGCTATATTTTTGTTTGATATGGAGGCTGTTGTTTGTATATTTCTGCACGTTTGTATATTTCACTTGCGAATATACCAATAGGATAAATATATACAAATTATGCATTTATACATTTATGAATTTTTCAGAACTCCATTTATATATTTTGCTTGTCAATATACAAACAAGGTAATTTATTATAAATAATAAATCGTATACAAATAACTAGGGTAAACATATACAAAATTCTGGATTTTTACTATCAGGAATCGAATTATACAAATTCTAGATTTATACAAATTATGCGAATTATACAAATCAGGTCAATAGCAAGAATTGAAAAAATTATAGCCGCGAATCACAATTTTCTAAAACTATAGCTATATCACCTAATACAGGCTAAATATTTACTATTCTGTATAATTTTCCCATTAATTTTTAACGTATTAGCTTGAGTCGGGAGAGCGAAAGTATAAAAATTTTGCACTTTTGACCTTATTTTGTGCTAATTTTTAGTTTTTGTGTTCGAGATAAATAACTTTCTGATAACACATATATATACATATATTGCATTTATGTCCTTATTTTGTGCTAATTTTTAATTTTTGTGTTCAAGATAAATAACCTTCTGATAACATATATATATATATATACATATATTGCACTTTTGTCCTTATTTTGTGCTAATTTTTAATTTTTGTGTTCAAGATAAATTATTTTCTGATATATATATACATACTTGCATTATAATATCCGCAACTTATGCCTTACATGACTTTTCTCCTTTACAGATTATATATTTTACTAGATATAAATTCGACTGTCGAAGAACAAAAATTGAAAACTCGCTTATTAAATGATAATTCTTGCCATTTCATTAGTTCATAAAAAATATAAACAAAAATTACTATATTATTGAGTATATGACTATAACAAATGTATCAAGTATCCACTGCTACCTATGAAAAAGATAAGGTAAAAGGGTCAAAAATATCCCTCAATTTTGTTTTATTGGTTGACTATGTCCTTACCGTTAAAAGTGAAGTTAGTTTTGCCTCTACCATTACTAATTTCACCATATATACCCCTCATTTGACGGAAAGCCCCAAATCAACTCAAATTAACCCGATTTCAATTGAAATTACCCAATTATCTATTTTAACCCAAACCCGACCCACTATACTAAAGAAACTCATACCAATTAAATCCCTAGTTCATGTCTTCTCCTCCTTAGCACCACTTTCCCAATTTCCCCTCCCAAAATAACGAAGTAAATTCACGAGATCAAAGATTGTTTCAATCTGATTTTACAAGCTTAGTGTTCTTTTGAAAAACAAAATTTCAAACCCCCTTTTTTTTATGCAAAAAAGGAAAACATTTTCATTATCACTGAATCAGTATTCATAAATACAACAACTAAATCCATTAACTAATATCATATATCAAGCATGTTAAGATCAGAGAATCGAGATACTCTAGTAATGAATAGAAGATCAACTTGCTTAACAATGGAGAGAAAACTCTTTCTTCAACACTGAAAGTCTTTACAAGAGAATCATTATTACTACTACATTCATTCTAATACTATCTCATCTATATATACAGTCAGTTAATAAGCTAACAAACTAACAGATTCTAACAAACTAGATTTGTTAACTTAACTAGTCTGTTAGAACTAAGTGACAACTGTACATTTTACTAGCTTCTCAACATCCTCCCTCAAGCTAGGTGTATGAAAAACATTCTTCATTCCTAGCTTGGTAAGTAGATACGCATGTTGCACACAAGTTAATCCTTTGGTGAGTAAGTCTGCAGGTTGCTCTGTTGTCTTCAAGTACATAGGTTGAACCAATCCTAGTTGAACCTTCTCTCTGATGAAATGACAATCAATGTTTATGTGTTTTGTACGCTCATGAAAGACTGGATTGGCTGCAATCTGTATTGCTGATTTGTTGTCACTATAAACAGGCATATGCATCTTCATCTGCACTACTAGTTCTTTGAACAGTCCTATTAGCCACACAATCTCTGCAACTGTTGATGCAAAGCTTCTGTATTCAGCCTCAGCTGAGCTCCTCGATATAGTGTTCTGCTTTTTGGACTTCCATGATATCAAAGATTTTCCATATGTGACCATGTAACCAGTAATGGACTTCCTGTTATTTGGACAAGATGCCCAATCTGCATCACAATATGCAGTTAGTTGATTATCAGCATTGGTACTCGTAAAAATTCCCAACCCTGGTGATTGTTTAACATACTTGACTACCCTTATTGCTGCATCCATGTGTGATGTCTTGGGATTATGCATAAACTGACTTAGAAGCTGTATTGCAAATGTTATATCTAGCCTTGTAATAGTCAAATAAAGTAGCCTTCCCACCAACTTCTGGTAAATAGTAGGATCACTTAATAGTTTATCATTCTCATCAGTGGGAGGAAAATGCAGATCAAATTCTGTAGTTATAAGTTTCTGATTTAGTTCAATAGGTGCTCCAACATGCTTAGAGCTGGACAACCCCATATCTGAGATAAGTTCAAGGCAATACTTCCTTTGGTGCATAAAGATCCCTGTTGCATTTCTGGCAAACTCAATCCTTAAGAAATATCTCAACTCCCCCAAATCCTTGATTTTTGTCTTTGAGAGCCTTCTTTGTTTTTAAGATTAGTTTGAGATCATTCCATGTGATCAACAAATCATCAACATACACCAATACCACTACCAAACTCTCACCTCGATGCTTTGTGAATAAAACGTAATCATAATGGCTCTGCTGGAAACCAGAATTAGCTAAAGCCGTGGTTAGCTTGATATTCCATTGCCTACTTGCCTGCTTGAGTCCATACAGTGACTTGGTGAGTTTACACACTATCCCCCTCTCACTGTTATGCCCAAATCCCATAGGTAACTCCATGTATACTTCTTCATTTAAGTCACCTTGAAGAAAAGCATTAAAAACATCCATTTGATGTATTTGCCAGTGATGTGCAGCAGCCAAGCTTATGACAGCTCGAACAGTCCCCATCTTCACAACAAGAGAAAATGTTTCTTGATAATCCAATCCTTCTCTTTGGTTGAAACCCTTGGCTACCAACCTAACTTTGAATCTATCTACCTCTCCATTAGCCTTATACTTCACCTTGTACACCCATTTACATCCTATGGCTTTTTATATCTTTAGGCAGCTGTGTTAGCTTCCAAGTGTGATTTTCTTCCAAAGCATGGATTTCATTCTGCATAGCTTCAAGTCTTCAACCCACTTTGGATCCTGTATGGCTTCCCGATAAGATGCAGGTTCCTTTTCTTGAGATAGCTTAGTAACAAAGCTTCTATAAGTTGGTGTGATGCTGTTATAATCAACCATATCGACAATGGGATACAAGCAATTACCAGCTAGCTTCTTGGACAAAACATAGTCTATGTGCCACAAAGGAGGCTTAGCAGGTCTATTTGATTTTCTAACAACAGCAGCAGGAACAACAACATTAGGTAAGACTGATGATGTGGTCTGGTTTTGCGACATATCATCAGGCTGAGAAGCCTGATTATCCTAAAGAACTGCAACATCAGAGGAAACACATGTGTTGTGTGATTCACAAACTTGACTGTCATTAGGTTGGCCTTCATCATTAGAACAAATAGTGTCATTTCTGCTTATAATACATGGAGTAAGCTCACAATCTTCTACATGTGAGTTTAGCATAGGAAATATTGGATCAATAGTATCTCCTGAACTTGATAATTGAAATGGAAATTCCCTTTTATAAAATGTGATATCTCTGCTAACAAAAATAATCCTTGACTCAATGTCTAGCAATTTATATCCCTTCTGATTGACAGCATACCCAAGTAGCACAACCTTTCTAGCCTTTGGTGCAAACTTATCATCTTTCCTCAAACTAGTAGCAAATGCCAAACACCCTATCACTCTCAGGTGAGTTAAAAAAGGTTGTTTGCCAAACATAATTTCATATGGTGACAAGTTTTCCAAAACTGTAAGAGGTACTCTATTTATGATATATGTTGCAGCTTCTATGCATTCACCCCAAAATCTATCTGGCAAGTGCCCTTGAATTTTGATAGCTCTTGTTGTCTCTAACAAGTGCCTATGCTTCCTCTCTACAACTCTACTTTGTTGTGGAGTATGTGAACAAGATCTTTGGTGAATGATCCCATGCAATGCAAATAAATCATGACAGTTAGAACTCATAAACTCTCCTTCATTATCAGACCTGAACACCTTGACACATTTCCCAAACCGATTCTTTATCATTGCTAGAAATTGTTTCAGTACAACAATTACATCAGATTTCAAATGAATTAGGAAAGTCCATGTCCATCTAGACTTATCATGAACTAAAGTAAGAAAATACTTCATTCCATGATGAGTAGCTATCTTATATGGACCCAGACATCCATATGTACTAAGTCAAAAAACAACAGCTACTTTGGTACTACTTATTGGAAAAGGGACTCTAGTTTGTCTAGCTTGTGGACAGATAATAGTGATCAATAGAAAAACTATCATGAGTCTTAAACTCTTTTATTCTTCTAAGTACTCCCATAGGAACATGTCCCAACCTTTGATGCCAAAGTGCAGGATCTTCATCTAATCTGCTGGCTGCAGACAGTGCCTTTTGTGGTATTGCTCTCCAGTGTAGTACATATAATCCATCATCTACCTCACCAATCCCCTTGACCTTCCCAAACAAGAGATTCTGAAATACACAGTGTGTAGGAAAGAAAGAAATATAGCAGTTTAATTCTTTTGTCAGTTTGTTCACAGATAAGAGGTTAAACTTAAAATCTGGTATACACAAGACATCACTGATCAGGTCACTCTCATTTAGTTGAAAACTTCCAATATGTGTAACTGTGGCCAAATCCCCTGTAGGTAGCTGTACTTTACTTGTACTTTTTACCATATTCCCAGCATACAAATAGTTGTGATCACATATCATATGATCTGTAGCTTTTGTGTCTATAATCCATTTCAAACATAAACTAAGATTACCTGCCATATTCACATTGCTGCTGCTGCAACTGCTTTTCTTCAACGCATCAATCATAGTATTAATTTGATCTAGTGAAGATTTGTGTAACAGTTGTAATAGTATTTGTTCATGTGTCCCCTGGGTATTGTGCATTGGTTCTTCTATGCCCATGTGTGCCTTCTTATCCACCTAATCCTGCACACAATGTGCCTTAGAATATATTGTACCTCCTCTCATTGCTAAGTGATCTTGCATACCTCCAAGCACAGCATTAACCTTCTTCTTTCCTTTAAAATTGTCAAGATAACCAATCAATTGGTAGCAATCCGCTTTGACATGCCCAGTAGCATGAAAATGGTCACATTTCTTTAGTTTGTTACAGTCTGCCCTAACATGCCCTTTCATGTTGTAGAAATCACAATACAGAGACTGATAATTCTTCCTGGGATATTGTTGCTGCTTATTGTTTCTAGCAGTGTAAAGAGCTAAGGACTCCATCCCTTCACTAATGTGACCTGCAATTCCCTTCTGACTTTCATCCTGGATTATTAGTGCATAAGCTTGATTCACATTAGGCAAGGTGTGCATCATTAAGATTTGACCCCTAGCTTGTGAATAACTATCATGCAACCCCATTAGAAACTGTAACAGACGCTGATACTGCATATGTTTAACATACTTCTTAGCCTTATGACAATCACAACTAGGTGGGGGTAAAATAGAATCATATTCATCCCACAAATTTTTCAATTTGGTGAAATAAGTTGAAACTGTTGAGACTCTCCCTGTGTAAGAGTGAAAATGGTCCTATGCAATTGATATAGTCTAGATCTATTGATTTTATCGAAACGCTTCTTAAGATCAAGCCATACCTGGTAAACACTGGTTGAGTATAAGATTCCACTAAGTAAACTCCTTACTAACATTACAGATTAACCAAGAGATGACCACTGCATTGCATCGATCCCAATTTTTCTTCAAATTCCCTTCAATATCAGTGCGCAAAACAGAGCCATCAATGAATCCCAATTTGTTCCGTCCAAGCAATGCAATCTCCATAGCCCGACTCCACAGGGTATAATTCTCCATCCCTGTTAATTAGATCCCTATTGATAGTGCTCCTGGTACATTCGATGAACTCAAAAGCAGTGGATGATTGTGATCAATCATCACTGAGCTTCTATTAATGGCTTCTCCTTGAAGTCTGCTACCCGATCCTCCAGATTCTTCTTCAATCGCCATGATCGAACGATGAAACAACCGAGATAACAAAAAAATTCAGCAAGACGACGAGCTCCTAGAACATTCGCCCACGCTCTGATACCATGTTAAGATCAGAGAATCGAGATACTCCAGTAATGAATAGAAGATCAGCTTGCTTAACAATGGAGATAAAACTTCTTCTTCAACACTGAAAGTCTTTACAAGAGAATCATTATTACTACTACATTCATTCTAATACTATCTCATCTATATATACAGTCAGTTAATAAGCTAACAAACTAACAGATTCTAACAAACTAGATTTGTTAACTTAACTAGTCTGTTAGAACTAAGTGACAACTGTACATTTTACTAGCTTCTCAACAAAGCACAGGCACATGGATTATCAACGGCGAGCTCGTCGAGTTCCACTTACCGCTGACGGTCGGAAAAGTGTAAAGAAGGGGAGCATTACGGATCCAATGCCTCTAGTGCCATCTTCCACCAGTGACAAGGACATTCATGCCATTAAGGGACCATCGATTGGCTCTTCCGGCACATCGAATTGAGCTGCAGTTCTTCATCCATGGCCTTATTGTTATACAATTTCTGGGTTTTGGAGTTTGAAATTTGAACTTGACAGAAGCAGTGTGTGAAACCAAGACGGATTCCCACATATTTTTCCCGATTTCCCTTTGTTTTTCAATACTTTCGAAAATATGGTCACTTAACCTCCGTGATTTTCAAACTTAAATTTTGAAATATCATTTGATACAATTTTCCGGCGGCGGAGGGTAATTCCTCCTGAAATTGGCAGAGATAATCCTGAATCGTTGACGACGATCTTTCATGTACTGATAAAATATGGCGAAGATAAAACAAGCGAGTGAAGTAATTGCATAGCTTCCATGGAAATTGATTTGAGCTACTGATTTCTGAGATGTTTGATTGAAGAAATCAAGAATCAAACCAATCCCAAAAATTCTAATAAAAAGAAAAAAAAGAGGAACTGAAAGAAGAAGAAGCAGTAGTATTGATGTTAGAAGCTAAGAAATGGTTTCTTTAAAGTGTTCTTTTGAGAATGGGTAAGAGAAATGAGTTAAATGTATTCAGAGGAGTCGGGGCATGGGTTTATTTACAGATAAAGAAACTAAAAGAGAAAATCAGGTTTGGATTAGATATGAAGAAAATGAAAGAGATGAAGAATATTAGAGAGATGGGTTTGGGTTTTAATTTGGTATTTCCTTAATTCATTAGGTTTAGTGGGTCAGATTTGGATGAAAAGAGAAAATCGGGTTATTTTAATTAAAATTGAACAATTTGAGTTGATTTGGAGCTTTCCGTCAAATGAAGGGTATATATGGTAAAATTAGTAACGGTAGAAGTAGAACTAACTTCACTTTAATGGTAAGGACATAATCTATCAATAAAATAAAGTTGAAGGATATTTTTGACCTTTTTTCCAAAAGATAATATTTCGTACAAAGTTGGTTAAATTCGTACCAAGAAATTGAAAAGGACAAATAAGTTTAAAAAATATATTAAAAGTTCCGTACCATTTTTTTTTCTCCGAAGTTCCGTACCAGTTGAAGTATATCCTAAATAAAACGTCTAATGGACCTACGTGGCATACTTTTAAAATAAAAAATACAAAATTCCACTCACATTGTTTTAAGAAAATTATTCCAACTTTTCTGTTATAAGAATTAGTCATATTCAAAATTTAAAAAAGGACCAATAAAAGAAATGTTTCCATGTAAAAAGTGAGTAATTTAGAAAAAAAAAATAACAACTTTATATAGAGTAATATTTTTATTCAAACATCAAAATCAAACACAATAAACAAAACCATAAATACCATTTTCAATTTATTTATTTTGAAAATTACTGACCCTTGAAACTCCATATAGCCAAGATTTCACAACTTCAATTTATTTGACTTCCCTTTTTTTTCCACATATTTTTATTTATTATTATTTTAATTAAAAAAAATCAGGGAGGTGAGAATTAAATTCATCAGTATTATTACTAGATAGAAGTATGATTCTAAATTGTTTTTACTTTTATCAGTAAGAAAATTTATGAACGTTACATATATTAACGTAGATATAATTTTTTTGAAACGAGTTATTTTAACTATTATAAAAGTAGAATAACTTGAGTTAAACAAGAGAGAAAGAGAGTATAAAAATAACTCATCCGATCTAGACTTGAGTCACATTGTATATGATATTTCGTATAGATATTAATTGACATAAAAAAAAGTCACTATTAATTACTTTTTATGTTATTCATTTTTCTAAAAATGATATCACACTTTTGAATTCATCAAAATGTACTATTCCAAAAGGATTCAATAGACACTCATTTAACAATATTTTTATAAAGTATAAAAACATAGATTTTATCACATATTATTTCTCCGTTTATTTATAAGTAATATAAAAACTCAAAGTCAAACAATTTTGATCAAGTCTCACCTTGTTTGTGCTAAACACTACCCCCCTCCCCCCAAACCCCAATCAATATATAGATCATTATTATTATTTTTATTTCTATTAATTTGAATTTACTTCGCGTACGATCTAATTCGAGGAAAAGCGATTCCCTATCAAATTAATTTTCAATATTCAAAACTCAATCTAAAACTTCTAATTAAAAAAGCAACCACCCATTCATTACACCATATTCTTTAGTGATTGATATTTTTCTTTATTTAAATTATCTCCCAATTTTATTATGACAATAATAATTGCGTCTCAATTCAAAACTAATCAAAGTTTATTATAAAGATTCTCTATGTACTTGATGTACTTTTTTTGTCCCATTTATAGTTAGTGTTGGTCTTTGTCATCATCATTAGTACTCTACAAAAAAGCCAAACTGTCCCAAAAATCAAATACACAAACAAACAACACTAGTTTAGATTATATAATTGTATTTCGGATGACTATCTACAATTTGTGTGCTTTGAAGAATGAATACAATAATAATAGGTAAGGAAGGGGCACATAAATGGAAATCTTTTTTTTTTTTAAAAAAGATATAATTATGCATTCTTTTTTTTTTTTGCCTAATTTTTAATATACAATGCACAATTAAAAACTAAAATTAAGAATTTTAAAGATTGGAGGAAGAATACATAAATGCATATTAAGATATCTAATAAAGAAGACAATTATAGTGGGAGACGAAAAGTTGAATAATTGAATTAATTTTTTTTGAGCTATTAAAAATATAATAAATATATAAATATTCCAAAAAAAATAAAATTACATAAATAAATTTTAAAAAGAATATATTTACATAAATAAATTTTAAAAAGAAAAAACCAATGAAAATTGGGGGAAAATAAGGCTCTTTTTTTTTTTTAATATTTATTATTACGTATTACATAAATAAATTTAAAAAGAGAAAACCAACAAAAATTGAAGAAAAATCTATATATATAATAAAGTTAGATATAGGCAAGGTGATGTGGCACATCTCTATGACCTCTATTCTTACTTTATATATATATATATATATATATATATATATATATATAATAAAGCTAGATATAGACAAAGTGATGTGACATCTCTCTATGACCTCTATTCATATTTAATTTTTTTCTCCTTTTTTGGGGCATTTTTATGTTTTTCTCATCATTTTTAATTTAGTTATTATTTATATATAATTAATGTTTTGTTGTAAATATATTATATTTATGTGGATGTCCATAACTTCAAGGTGTAATTTCACCATTATATGTAATAATACTCACACCTTCACCATCTTCTCATTTATCTTCTACACCCCTTGATCTTCCCTACATTCTCAAAAATTAATATCATGTTTATTGTTATCTCTTTGTATGCCTTTTTATAACCATATAAATAGAGGTCTTGAGATTGTGTTATGCATTTGAAGATTTGGAAAACACTTGATTATACTTGGAAGAATAAGAAAACTCTCTCTTGTCTCTCTACATTTCTTGTCTTTTTTCTCACTTATGTTATTACTCTTTTCAGCTTTGTTTTAATACATGTTTTCATTCTTGAAAAGTTACATCTAATGGTATTTACCTTCATAAAAATAAATGTATTGATACTTTTATGCCTATCTTAGTGGGGGTTCGGGCGAACCCAATAGCTTTTCCGTAAATCCTATACTTGTATTAAAAAATTAAATAAATATATATGTATATTAACTTGTGAACCCCTTAACAAAACTAATTGATGGCTTAGTGGTAAGGAAGGGGTCTTGGGAATGCTTTCCCATGCTAGAGTTGTGGGTTTGAACCTCTTCGGCTATTTATGCAAACCTCACAAATAAAAATAAAAATTAATTAAAAAAATATAAGATCAACAATTAGAAAAAGCAAAAAAAAAAAATAAAAAAATCTCGTTTCTTATATATTGTCGTTCGTTAATTTGTCGGTTATATTTAAAGTTATTGTTCTGTTCTAAAATCTAGAACCCCAAACCCCTAATTACCCAGCCATCCTTATTCCAAGATTCCATTTCCATGTTGGGTGTGTTTGCTTTGTTTGGTTAATACTACTGACCAATTCTAAACTGAAACCGTGTAAGCTAAAGATTACTCGTCATAGCTACACTTTTCCAAGTCATAGAAACAATGGTCTCTTCTACTTATTTGGAACTGAGCTAGCTCTCAACTTTCACCATGCATGACTTAGCCAAAATGTGGGAAGTCCTTTTAATAGACTCTAGATAGTCATCAAATAAATACACAAATGTCATAGGTTATAATTGGGAGAATGAGTACCAATCAATTTTGTCACTATGTTCATTTAGTCATTTATTGATTTGGTCAAAACTTAGGAGGAGTCTTTACTAGCTTGTGGTCTAACAAGTGTGAAAAGTCCTCTTTCTTTAAGAATCAGACAAGAAGTAATATTTTAAACCATTTGTTATTCTTGAAAAACTTTGACTTTTCTTTCTGCAGTTATAAGGTTTGGTTATATATCTTGCACAAGCACATCTGCTTCTTGTCCAGCTCTCATATTACTGTCTACTAGAGTTTTTCAAATGCATAATCCAAGATGCAAATCCCTAATTATCTTCATTCAACTTGTTTCCATCATTGGTTTTTGCCACTATGTAATTGGAATAAGAGGTGAAGATAATAACACTAGTGCTGTAAAGGTGGATGTGGGCATAATTCTTGATCTGGAAACAGATGTGGGAAAAGTAATGCACATATCAATCTTACTAGCTCTTGCAGACTACCATGCCAACACTAGTCGCGGTGCCATAAGGATAGTTCCTCATATCAGGGATTCAAAGAAAGATGATGTTGAAGCAGCATCAGCTGGTAAAACTCAAGCTCTAAGCTTTACCTATGATAAACTAGGATTATCTCTCTCTTTGCTTCAAAAGATTCACTTTTTCTTTTTCTCTAAGATATTACTTTTCCTCTTTGGTTTTCCTATTTTGAAAGAGATGTTCAGACAATTACTTATAGTCTGATTGTGTATGTGCAGCCATATACTTGCTAAAAGATGTCCAAGTGCAAGCTATCTTCGGGCCACAAATGTCTACACAAACTGATTTTGTGATTGACTTGGGGAACAGAGTAAGAGTTCCTATAATATCTCCAGCAACAAGTCCTTCACTTTCAGTCAAGGAAAATCCCTTCTTCATCAGAGGAGCACTTCCTTCTTCCAGCCAGACTAGAGCCATTGCAGCAATTGTTAAAAACTATAATTGGAGGGAGGTTGTAGTAATCTATGAGGAAAGCCCCTATGGAACCGGGATACTTCCATATTTAACTGATGCCTTGCTGGAAATCAATACTTTAGTCTCCTATAGAAGTGGTATTTCTCCTTCAGCCAATGATGATCAAATCCTCAGGGAGCTATACAAGTTGAAGACAATGCAGACCAGGGTGTTCATTGTGCACTTGCAAGAAAATCTTGCCTCCCGCTTTTTCCTCAAGGCCAAAGAAGCCGGGATGATGAACAGTGGATATGCATGGATCATCACAGATGTGCTGACGAGTCTTCTGGACCTGGTAGATACTTCAGTAATTGAGTCATCAATGCAAGGTGTTCTGGGTTTAAAATCTTATGTTCCAAAATCAAAGGAGCTTGACATGTTCACCAGGAGATGGAGAAAGAGATTCCGTCAAGAGTATCCAGACATGGACCAAGTAGAACTCAATGTTTTCGGGCTATGGGCATATGAGAGCATCACCTTATTAGCAGAAGCAGTAGAGAAAGTGGGCACTACTGCTATCCCAAAATTAAAGAAACCAGACACTAGAGAGAACATAACAGACCTAGATGCACTTGGAACCTCGGAAGTGGGATCCCTGCTCATTGACTCTATGCAAAACACAGAGTTAAAATCAGGACTAAGTGGTGATTTCTGTATCGTTGATAGAGAACTGCAGCCATCCCCATATCAGATTGTGAATATAATTGGGAAAGGAGATAAAATCATTGGATTCTGGACAGAGAAGGATGGCATTTTGCATAAACTGAAGATGAATGGTAAAACAGATAAAACTAATAATAAGCAACTAGGGGTCATCATTTGGCCTGGTGAATCTACTATTGTTCCGAGAGGCTGGGAAATACCCACAAGTGGGAAGAAGTTAAGGGTTGCTGGAGCAATTCATTAAAGTGGAAAGAGATCCAACGACACAAGCAGTAATTGCAACTGGTTTAGGGCCAGATGTCTTCAAAGAAGTCATCCAATCTTTGAAATATGCTGTCCCTTATGAATTTATTCCATTTCCAATAGCACATAGCCCAACTTCTCAAAACTATGATGATCTTGTTCACAAGATCACTTCTAAGGTAAAATTAACCTCTTCAGCTGAATAACTCACTTACATGCTCCTTTTTTGGACTTCTTATCTATGTTCTGATTTTGCGACCAACAATAAATACTGAAATAATCAATGTTTGCTTGAACCAGGAATATGATGCGGTTGTAGGTGTTATTACCATTTTAGCAAGCCGATCTGAGTATGTAGATTTCACATTACCTTTTTCAGAGTCGAGTATTTCTGCAGTTGTGCCTGTAAGGAATGATGATAGGAAGAACGCTTGGATCTTTTTGAAACCTTTAAAGGCCGAGCTGTGGATAGCAACCGGAGCATTATTCGTCTTCATTGGTTTTGTGGTTTGGGCACTTGAACATCGTGTAAACAAAGATTTTCGAGGACCCAAACGCAAGCAAGTTGGGATGATATTTTGGTTTTCCTTCTCAACTCTCGTTTTTGCTCATAGTAAGTCTCTAACTCAAATCAAATTATAGACCAAAAGTTTAAGATTTCTCCTTGTTTCTCAACAAATCCTATATATGACTGGTTGTTGCAGAAGAGAAGATAACAAGTAACTTGTCAAGATTTGTGCTGATTGTGTGGGTTTTCGTGGTTCTGGTGCTGACATCAAGCTATACAGCCAGCTTAACATCTATGTTAACAGTGCAACAGCTTCAACCTACTATAACAGACCTCAATGATCTCATCAAGAATGGAGAATATGTAGGGTACCAAAAAGGTTCCTTTGTCAAAGACGTCTTGACACGCATGAAATTTGACAGCTCCAAATTTAGGAGTTGTAGCACATTGGAAGAGTATAATGATGCACTCTCAAGAGGTAGTAAAAATGGAGGTGTTGGTGCAATTGTTGATGAACTACCTTATCTCAGACTCTTGCTCAACAAATACTGCAGGAAGTATATTATGGTTGGTCCGACATACAAGGCTGCCAGCTTTGGATTTGTAACATTGTTGTACTTAACTGATGCTTCAGCAAGTGTTGACATTTATTTAGAGTGGTTAGTGGTTTACTCAATGATCTAATCTTTAATTTTCCCACAACTTGTTGCAGGCATTTCCAAAAGGATCTCCTTTGGTACCTGACGTCTCAAGAGCAGTCTTGAAGGTGATAGAGGGAGAGACTATGAATAACATAATTCAGAAATGGTTTGGGAATGAAACAGATTGTCCAAAGCAAGATGGAATGGCTATAGCATCTAGTCTCACGCTCGATAGTTTTAAGGGCCTTTTCCTCATAGCTGGTGTATCAGCAGGCTCTGCTCTTCCCGTATTCTTCGTCATCTTCCTTTATCAGAATAGAGTAATCTTAGCCACTGATGATTCAATAGGAAAAAAGCTTTGTGCAATAGCAAAAGTCTTTGATTTAAAGAGAGACGACTCTAATTCTATGTCAAAAAACCTTCCTTTGCAAAGCCCAGAAATCGGAATCTCTGATGGCCTAGGAGAATCCCCTGCTTCTGAAGGGTTCTCTACAACAGAAACTGGAACCCCAGTTCATGAAACAATGTCAGGCACGATTGAAGAAAGATTACACATATATAGCTGCTAACATAACTGTGACACACCTGAATAGGGCCCTACAAGAGATTGTACAGAGATGAACTAGCTTTAGGGTTAGTTAAATCAGTTTACATTAGGTCTTGGCCATAATATTAGCATCAAGAGGTGGCCTCCAGGATTCCATTAGATGGATTCAATCCTTACTTTTTCTTAGTTGTTTCTTTAGCAATTTTATGTTCACTTTGTTTTTTTCATCACTACTTATGTTGTTGTTGTTGTACTTATGTTTGGAATATAATTAAAAGAAGTTATATGTGTGGAATGAAAGAATTCAATACATGCATCCGTTTTCAAGAAATTCAATTGAGGTAGTTTTGTTATGTTACAATAATAGAACAAAAACAATAAAATCAACACATAAGATGCTAAATTATTTTTTGATTACATAATTCTTATATAGAATATGAAATAATGGGGGTTATATGTGAATAACCACATGAGAGATTTGTGCAATTTTTTTATAAGAAAAAGCAATCTGGAAATCCCAAATTAAATAAGAAAGAAAGATCTAGTAGTAGTGAATTTATAATGCAGGTGCTAGAACTAGCCTAGAGGATAAGAACATAGTTACAGATCATAAATAAGGAAAGGTTTTAGGATCACTGCTACATGGAAGACAAACAGTAATATGTTCAGTTACACAGGGCAGATAGCGAATATAAGCATAAGATTTGCATTTTCGACACGGATCATAAAAGTATATGTGACAATTCACTAAAATTTTAAGAAATAATAGAACATGAACCCATAATTTCAAAGTGTAATGGGCTCAATGGTAAGAACCTAAATATTGAACCCATCAAATCGGAATCTTATATCCCATCTGCTTCAACATATATCATAGGCAACTTCCCTAGCAGTTTCCTCTTGCACTAACAATAACAGTGTCAATGAGCCAATCAAGTGCGGGAGAGTGTTCACCCAAACCCCCTCGACAAAAAATTTAAATGTATATATAGGATATATTTTCTATGTTGATGTACATATAAATTGTGAATCCCTTAAATAACATGCAAAAGGTTAGCTCCGCAAATCAGGAAATTCAAAATACACCCCAATGTCCAAGGTTCAATTCTCAAGGACTGCATTATCTTTTACATTTTTATTTTTCGAAACTCTCAGAGTAAAAATCTTGAATCAGCAAGCCACTAGAGCCAATGGTGGTGGTTGTTTCATTATTGAGTGTCCAAGGAAATTAATACTTTTTACATTTTTATTTACAAATCCCCCATGAATGAAAATCCTAGATCGGCCCAATGGTGGGTGTTGTTTCATTATTTGGTGTCCAAGCAAGTTACTAATGACCAAGTATAAACAGGAACCATGTAAAATAAGCACCATTCCAAGGTCAATCAAATGAGTTTTTGTCACTGCATTCGTTTGTCAGATTTTTATTGGGTCAAATTGAGGAGGGAACTTACTAGTTAAGAATGTATGAAAAGTCCTCTCTCAATTATTCTTTGGAAACTTTATCTTTGACTTTTCTTTCTACATTGCCTTATTATAGTTTTGTAAGGTATTTACTGGTCCAAGTATATGAAGTTCCCAGATTCTGAAACCATATATCTAGAGCCACACAGTTAAGAGATTATTAGACACATCTCTAGAAAGTGGCTAATTACTTGCACAAGCAGAATTGCTTCTTTCCCAACTCTCAGACTATTTGCTACCAGAGTTTTTCAAATGCAAAATCAAAGATACTACTGCCTAATTCTCTTCATTCAACTTGTCTCCATTATTAGCTTTTGCCACTATGTAATTCCAATAAGAGGTGAAGATGAAACTAGTGTTGTAAAGTTGGATGTGGGTATTGTTCTTGATATGGAAACAGTTGTGGCAAAAGTAATGCACATATCTATCTTACTAGCTCTTGAAGATTACCATGCCGCCGCTAGTCCCAGAGCTATTAGGATAGTCCCTCACTTGAGGGATTCCAAGAAAGATGATGTTGAAGCAGCATCTGCAGGTAAATTAATTCAGCTCCATGATTTACTTCTGTTAAGCTAGCATATCTTTTTCTCTTTTCTTCTTTTTTCCCTTTGGTTTTCTGATCAGACAATTCCTTATAGTCTGATTGTGTATGTGCAGCCATATACTTGCTAAAGGATGTTCAAGTACAAGCCATCTTTGGGCCCCAAATGTCTACACAAACTGATTTTGTGATTGACTTAGGGAACCGAGTAAAAGTCCCTATCATTTCTCCAGCAACTAGTCCTTCACTTTCAGTCAAGGAAAATCCCTTCTTCATCAGAGGAGCACTTCCTTCTTCCAGCCAGACTAAAGCCATAGCGGCAATTGTTAAAAACTATAATTGGAGGGAGGTTGTAGTAATCTATGAGGATAGCCCCTATGGAAGCAGGATACTTCCACATTTGACAGATGCCTTGCTGGAAAACAACAGTTTAGTCTCCTATAGAAGTGGTATTTCTCCTTCAGCCAGTGATGATCAGATCTTCAGGGAGCTATACAAGTTGAATACAATGCAGACTAGGGTGTTCAGCGTACACTTAGAATCATCTCTGGCCTCCCGTCTTTTCCTCAAGGCCAAAGAAGCCGGGATGATGAGCAGTGGATATGCATGGATAATCACAGATGTGCTAACAAGTCTTCTGGACCTGGTAGATCCTACAGTAATTGAGTCATCAATGCAAGATGTTCCAGGTGTAAAATCTTATGTTCCAAGATCAAATTAGCTTGACATATTCACCAAGAGATGGAGAAAGAGATTTCGTCAAGTGTATCCAGTCATGGATCCAGTTGAACTCAACGTTTTTGGGCTATGGGCATATGATAGCATCACCGTATTAGCAAAAGCAGTAGTGGAAATGGGCAGCACTGCTATCCCAAAATTCCAGAAACCAGACACTAGAGAGAACTTAACGGACCTAGATGCACATGGAACCTCAGAATTGGGATCTCTGCTCCTTGACTCTATGCAAGACACAGTGCTAAAAACAGCACTAAGTGGTGAATTCCGTCTCATCAATGGAGAATTGCATCCATCTCCATATCAAATTGTGAATATAGTTGGGACAGGACAGAGAAGCGTTGGATTCTGGACAGAGAAGGATGGAATTTCATATAAACTGGAGATAGATGGTAAAACAGCTAAGAGTAATAATAAGCAACTAGGAGCCATCATTTGGCCCGGTGAATCTACTATTTCTCCGAGAGGCTGGGAAATACCCACACAGCGGGAAGAAGCCAAGGGTTGGAGTTCTTGTCAAAGGAGGGCTGCAGGAATTCATTAAAGTGGAAAGAGATTCAAAAACACAAGCAGTTACTGCAACTGGTTTCTGTGCAGATGTCTTCAAAGAAGTCATCCAATCTTTGCCTTATGCTGTCCCTTACGAATTTGTTCCAGTTCCAATAACACGTAGCCCCAATTCTCCAGGATATGATTGTAAGAATAGGAATATGTTTATGCAATCCTATTAGAATAGGAATAGGTTTATACAATCCTATTAGAATAGGAATAGGTTTATACAATCCTATTAGAATAGGAATAGTAATAGAAATAGAAATAGGAATACTAAATAGTATCCTACTTGGTAAAGGATTGTATTCTAGGGTCTATAAATAGGGTCTCAATGTAATAATGTAAATAACAACAATTCAATAATATTCTTTTCCTATATTTCTTACATGGTATCAGAGCCTCTACGATCTTGGTAGAAAATCTAAGAGCTTACGCTGCCGGCGAGCGGCTATTACTAATATATGCTGCCCGTCTGGCCAACGATTATGTTAGCCGTCACCGTGTATCTTTCCGATGACTATTTTCTCATATCTAATTTGTGTAGCACCGTGCCATCATTCCGGTGACTACTTTCTTATATCTAATTTGTGTAGCACCGTGTCATCATTTCGGTGACTACTTTTTCATATTTAATTTGTGTAGCACCGTACCAGTGACTATTTTTTCATATTTAATTTGTGTAGCACCATGCCATCCTTCTGGTGACTACCTTTTTTTTGCATATCTTATTTGTGTAGCACCGTGCATCTTTTCGGACTACTTTTCATATTTAATTTGTGTAGTACCGTGGATTTTTTCGAACTATTTTCTCATATCTGAGTTGCATAGCATCATGTGTCTTTTCAGTGACTCCTCAGATTTGATTTGCATAGTTCCATTCGTCTTTCCGGTGACTCCTCAAATCTGATTTGCGTAGGGTTGTGCCATCATTCCAACCCTACCCGTATAATTTTTCTTTTTTAGCAGGGTCGTGCCATCATTCCGACCCTACTCATATTATTTCTCTTTTTCAATAGGGTTGTTCCATCAATTCGAACTATCCTATATTTTTTCTATTTTCTAGTTGGGTTGTGACATCATTCTGACCCTATCCATATAATTTTATTTCTTAGATTGTGACCACTTTTAGCCATCAAATCTAGTACTCCGACATATGAGCATGTTCTGGCCAGTTTTTCGGTGACTTGTTTGATATCGACTCGTCTATTGATTTCAACATGATCCATATACTTTATACTAGATTTTGAGCACTTACAACGACCGCTGCATTGTGAAGAAGTCTATATGGAGCAACCACCTAATTTTGTTGCTCAGGGGGAGTTTAGTAGCCTTGTATGTTGATTACGTAAGTCACTCTATGGTCTGAAACAGTCTTTGCAAGCTTGGTTTGGGAAGTTCCAACACTGTAATTTTATCACTCTGTGTTTTATCGGCATTGGTTTGGGAAGTTCCAACACTGTAATTTTATCACTCTGTGTTTTATCGGCATTCTGCATCAAATTCAGTATTTCATGAGAAGACCAAGCACATTAAGATTGATTGTCAATTTTGTGAAGTCGAGTGATCAACTTGCAGATATCTCACCAAGCCCCTCATCAGTCCTCGTGTTAATTACATTTGTAACAAGCTAGGTACATGAATTGTATACACTAGCTTGAGGGGGAGTGTAAGAATAGGAATATGTTTATGCAATCCTATTAGAATAGGAATAGGTTTATACAATCCTATTA